TTTCTCGGTGAAATAATTGCCTAAAAATGACTTTGATGCCCCCAAACTCCCCCAGCAAGTTCAGGTTCTGGACCTCGGTATCTCTAAAACCCTGCGTACAGCAGTGCTGGTGAGGGAAACGCCCACAGAACTGCGTCTCAGTGTAAACACACAGCCGGTTTAACAGTAAGAAACAGCACTGAAAATGTTCAGAAGGATTAAAAACTCCATCAGATTCAGCGTTGGGGTGAATTAGGGAACTTTGGACTCCTTTTTTGGTCCAGTTCAGGCGGTGCTGAAGTTCTCACAGAACTCACAGTGATTGGTTGAAACGTCACATCTGATGACGGGAACTAACTGTTTTGGTCGGAGGAGGAAGAAAAAATGATGTCTGAAAAAGATCATCTGTGTTTGTTTGTGTCCAAAGTGAAGACCTTCGTCCTGCTGCCACCTCAGCTTCATCACACGCACACACACACACACACACACTGAGAGCAGCCATGTTGTTACTGTAGCTGCAAACACTTTAATCCTCATTGTGACTCAGCCTGAATCTGTCACTTCTTTGATCTATTTACTTAAACTCAGACGTTCATTCTTCAGACGGCGTCTCTGTTCATATTTTTAATCTTTTGAATCTGAACACCTGATTCTGCTCCGAACAGCTGGAGAGGATTTCTGTCCTCATCCAGTTTTAATCCGAGCTGTGCTGCAGGTCTACAGAACACAGAACTCTGCTCTGGGTTTCAACATTATTCAGTTCTGTTCTGCAGGCGGGTTATTTTTCCTAGGATGGCGAAGGCCTGACATACTCAATGTCCAATTTTCATGACTGAATGGATTAAGGAACTCAGAATGCCTCATTGTGTAGTTTCAGCCTGGAGTCTAATGTTATTTTCATAATGATCCAACTGCTGTTTGGTTCCAGTTGTATCGAGGCCTATGGGAGAAACTCAGTGAAACCCAACATATCTACGTCTACCCAGTGAAAGAAAACACTGAACAGAATCCATTTGTTTATTTACTGTCTTAAAATAGCACCCAGAGGTTATTGTAGGCAAAACATAACTTTAAATCTATAAATCAATAATCTATAATCATTAGACAGTTTATAAACTCTGAATAGTTTAGAGTTTGAACATTGTTGGAAACATTTAGGATAATGTAAGAACTTAACTACATATAGATCATAGAGCCAGAGTTTATACACTGTTTAATGATTATTGATTATTGATTGATTCAAACTACATACAGAACATAGAGTTTATACACTGTTTAATGATTATAGATTATTGATTGATTCAAACTACACTGTAAAAAAACCCCCAGAAAAGTAAAAATGATTTACAGTTACAGATTTTTCACGTTATTTTACATCAGACATAAATTTATAGGTTATTTTTGTAATTTAATTAATTTTTCCATATATTGTAAAATAAACGTGAGAAACATCGTAAACATGCTTTAGAGTTTATACACAGTTTAAAGAGGAAACAGATTATTGATTATAGATTTAATAATCCAGAGTAGAATCTATCTGCTGATTGAATATTTGTGTCGTTCAGACATTGGAGGATGGAAACTGCAGCTTTAATCTGATCATTATGTAATATTTCCACATGGAGAGAGGACGTGGTTTAGATGCTGAGGAGATCCCGACAGACAGAAGGTCGATTTTACCCCATTTTATTACATCTCGTGCCAAGATTCTTGCTTTTAGACGTGGTGTTATAGAAACAGCATTCTTATGGATTTATAGTGAAAAGGAATGATTCTCCTCTTTTCTGGGGACCCCCCTTGGACCCCTAGGAGACCCCCCCCCCCATTTTCCAAAACCATTGTTCTAGAAAACGAATCCATCAGTTGCGACAAAAATATAAGAATAATAAAATGACCGTTTGTGAAGCAGCGGAGCTCGAAGACTGAGACTCCAACTGTATTTAATATATAACAAACACACTGATGCATGAACACACACACACACACACACACACACACACACACACACACACAGTACAGATGCACCAAATGCAGACAAAAGGAACAGATGTGAGTGATGCAGGCCGACACACCCACTGAGTTCACTCCTCTTTTAAACATGTGGAATAAAGGTCCTACCTGGTCCTAGTCCACAGGAAGCTGCAGGCTGATGTTCATGGTGTCTCTGCAGGAGGTAACGGAGGAGGAACAGTCCAGGGCTGCGAGCTTGAAGCTGCAGAGCTGGAAAATATGAACTGAGCTGGACAGGACTGAAGCTCAAACAGCCGCTCAGAGCTCTAATGAATGCTGGGAAATGTCTTCAGCTGGTTATGTTGCTGTGTGATGATGCAGAGTGGTTGGATGTCGCTGCAGCAGCTCCCTGTCTGCTGTACTGCAACAGGGAGGGAGGGGTGTGTGTGTGTGTGTGCGTGTGTGTGTGAGTGAGAGAGTGTGTGTGTGTGTGTGTGTGTGTGTGTGTGTGTGTGTGTGAGAGAGAGTGTGTGTAGTCCAGTAGCTCCTTTCCTCTCCTTCTTCCAGTGTGTGAAGCCAACTGATGTTAACAGCAATGCCTGTTTAAACTTTCACAATAAAAGCCTGACAGAGTTAAACATAAATCTGCTCATTGTTTATAAATTCAATGAGGTTCATATATTTGAAAGGACCAGTGTGTTGGAATTAGAGGCATCTTGTGGTGTAATTGCAACCCCTTGTGTCACTCCTCACATTCGAAGTGGTGAGAAACAATCACTCCTCCTCCTCCTCCTCCTCCTCCTCCAGGATTTCACTACTGTTTGTGATTGTTGAGGCCTAAAATCTCTGATTTCACAGCGGATTTTCAAAAGAAAATTGCGATGTTTTTCTCCCCTACTCAACCATCACTTCTTTAGTTTTTTTCATCCACTTTGTTTTTGCTTTTTCAATACATAAATACAGATATAGAGATATATACATATAGAGATATATAATTGGCATTTGTAGGGAACATTGCAATAAAATGTTTTCTTTTTGGAAATGTAATTTTATATTCAGTCTACGAGCATGTGACAGCTATACTCTTATTTTGGAGGAAAATGAGCCCATTTCCTGTATAGTTTCGGTTAAATGTGGAAAACTTTACGAGTCTTTTTCTGTCCCCATCCTGCTGAGTTTCTGCTGACGGAGCACAATCCCAACAATGCACCAGTTACAGTCCAACACTTCCTTCACTTAAACTCATTATTATTAATGTTATTAACAGCTTCATTAATGATATTCACACCAGGATTAATGCTTAATATCTATTAATAATACACATATAATATCAACCCTGTGTCATCAAATAAACATATAAATACAACAATGTGAACATTGGACAGAATATGTCTCATTTTATCGTTTTATTTTGAAAGGTTGAGCAGAAGTATTATGGTCTGGTGGGGTTGTGAGTGTTTGCTGCCCCCCAGTGGTCACAGGGAGGAACTACAACACACACACACACACACACTTAATATTTGTATTTAATTGATAACATGAACCACGTTCAATAACCATCATTGATCAGTACTTCCAGACAATACACTGTAAAAAGAAAAGCTTTAATTTTACATTAAATATTTTTAATGTTTAATTAAAGATATTTACAGTGTAAACAATGATCTATAAATCCAGGTGAACTCTGCTATAATACAATAATCAGACTTACATTTACAGCAGAGTGCTGTTATTATTGGATTGTTATTATTTGAATGTGAATGTTAAAAGTTATAGAAGTGTAATAAAAGTCATTATCTGTGAGATTACAGTAATTATTGCTGTTTACACTGATAACAACTGTATTTGGACAGTTTACCTTATACACTGATAAACAACATTTATTCAACTTCCATCATTATACAACATATCTGTCAGTTAACCAACTAATCATTTTTTAACCGTTAATTGTCACTAATTTTACATCATTTTAGTAAGTTAAGTATTAACAGTATTAAAATTGAATTTAACTGTTTAATCTATTAAATAAACAGCAAATATTTATGTATTTAAATCTTTTTATGTGAAAAAAGTATTTTTTCTTTAAATAAGCACTAATTTTATGATTTACAGTTACAGATTTTTTGAGTATTATAATAATAATAATAATAGTAATAATAATAATAATAATAATAATAATAATACTGACACAACCTGTAAACTTACAGATTTTACGGTTTATTTAATAAATTGAGTTTTCTTCCTTTCACCTGAACTTGTTTAGCACAAATACTTCAAAGTGTTACAAGTTCAAGTCATTAAATGTTCCTTAAGTAAAAGTACATTAGTATTATAATACACATTTACTTAAAGGATTAAAAGTAAAAGTTCTGTTAATTACATGTTATTATATTTTACTTTATTAGATTATTAATACTGATGAGTTAATGTACAGTAGTGTCAGAGGAGCAGATTAAAACGACCTCATACATTCACACACTCACAGTTCAGACACTCAGATAATCCAACAGTAAATACAGTGAAGTGTATCTGCAGTTCCTCTAACGGCCACTAGAGGCTGGCTCCACAGGTGAGTCAGTCTCTATAAGGGCCCATATTAAAATGCAAAAGATAAAAAATAAATTTGCCTCTGGGGTTTGTTGTTAAAGTTGCATTTAAATAAATATTAAACTGTTGGAGACATTCTTAAATTATAATCACTGATTCCTTTACTGTAAGATTTTTGAAAGTTTAATTTTTTCCATTTATTCAAACATTAATTTGTGCTGAGCTGTGAACAATAATGTAAATAAATAAAATAAACTGACTGAATGAAAGTTTGATAAAGTCCCATAAAGAAGAGCTCCTGTGTGGAGGTCACACCAGACTCCCTCAGATAATGTGGCAATTTAAGGTAATGTTGTTGTTTTACGTTAAAGAAAGAATGAGCACATAAATATAAATTATTTAATTCCTAATAAAACACCTCAAAGGTTAATTCGGCACATTGGTCGATGATCTAAAAAGCAGAAGAAATCACCTTTATTCTGAAGGAGCACGGTGCCGTTTCCGGTTTCGTTTGTTGTTGTCGTGCTGTGTTTCCGGTGTGGATGCGGCCGCAGCTGTTTATGGTTCCAAAATGACCAAACTGCAGCTACTGAACGCCTACCTGACGGAGCGGCTGACGGTGGTGGTGAAGGAGATCCTGGACGTGGTGGAGGACACGGTGACCGAGTACCGGGAGGAGACCGCCAGGACCAAGCGGGAGAACGAGAGCCTCCGGAGGCAGCTGCGGGACATCCTGCTGCTGGAGGCCGAGACGGAGTGGCTGAGTAAGGGCCGAGCTAGTCAGCTAGCTCCGAGGCGAGCTGTGACAGGACAGCGTTCCAAACTGCGCTTAAAATATGTCCGGTTTAAATCTTTAAAGGGAATTCACTTTAAATATCGGTTAAAAGACGGAGTTCAAAGTTTGTAGATGTTGTCAAGGACCCGTTTCTAAATTCGGCTTTAGTGAAATACACCAACTCTGTCGGCATTGTATGACAAATGTGACTTTTCATGGCCTTTCTGCCTGTTACTTCCTCTTTTTCCACCCAGTAACAGCTGAGGTTCCGAGAGTAGATTTTAACTGTTGGAAGTGAGAAGAGTTGCTGTTTAGATCATCGACCAATGTGCCGAATTAACCTTTGCAATGTATTGTTACAGAATTAAAAAACTTAAGTTTATCTGCTCTATGTTTAGAAGTAAAACAACATTACTTTAAATAACCACATTATCTAATGGAGTCTAGTGTGATGTTTTCTCTACACAGGAGATCTTCGGAGTTTTGGAACAAACTTAGGTTCAAAACATATAAAGAGTAGAGCTGATTAAGTGTAACATTTACCTCTGAAATCAAAGATTTTGTATTTGTTATATTGTATGTTTTTTCTAAATTCTGCTGTATGAACTGTATCTCTCCTGTTCCAGGGTCGACCAGTTCCCGCCTTGGTTTTGCGGCTCCTGATCAGCCTCCCTGTGATCCGGAGCTGAGGCCCCGCTCTGAGGAGCCAGACTCCACCCTGAACCAGCCAAGACAGCCGCCACATGAGCAGGTTGTTTCTGTGCAGTTGCTGTCGGTGCAGAGCCACCCGTCCCCGGGGCCGGTGCTCCTGCCGGCGGACGAGAAGCCTGTGGAGGCCTGGGAGCCGGCGCTGAAGCCCGACCTTCAGAAGGAGGCGTTTGGGAAAGCTTTGCCTCTTCCTTCTCACTCCTCCCTGAGTCCTCCCTCCCTCCCCGCCCCTGTCCCCAAAGTCCACGTTGAAGTTCCCGCTCTGAGAGAGGAGCCCCGGCCCCCGGCCCCCTCTGCTCTCATCAAGACTGAACCTGAGGAATACAAAGTGACTGAACCTGAAGGTCTCACGGACTCTCTGACGGCGCCTCCTGTCACACAGGAGCAGTTCACAAACAGGGCGGATGCGGTCAGGACGGTAGTTGTGCGTGCAGAGCGGCGTGAAGCTCACGCCAACAGGAAGTCCTCTCAGGAGAAGGTCACAGCCGACGATGCCACCGCTGCCGCTTACGCCCCCGAGCTTATCCACCGCTGCCCCCGCTGCGGTGAGACGTTCGGCCAGGCCAGCAGCCTCCGCCTGCACCTGGAGCAGAAGAGAAAGACGTACGCCTGCGAATGGTGCTGCAAGTCCTTTGCGCAGTCAGCCGACCTGCGGCGTCACCTGCGCACGCACACCGGCGAGAGACCGCACCGCTGCACCTTCTGCTCCAAGAGCTTCAGCCAGAGAGGGAACCTGCGTCGACACCTGCGCATCCACACAGGGGAGCGTCCGTACAGCTGCCCGTACTGCTGCCGCACCTTCAGCGACGGCGATACCATGAAGAAACACAAACGCACGCATTCGGGAGAGAAACCGTACCGCTGCGCTCAGTGCTCCAAGACCTTCACCAGCGCCAGCGGCCTGCAGATACACCTGAAGAAGGACATGTGCTTCGTGGCGAATGCCTGATTGAGTTCACGCATCAGAATGTTTATTTTAATGAAAGAATGAGCGCGTCACAAGCCAGGAGGATGTGCATTCATACAAATATATAATAAATATGTAGTTTATCAGTGTTAACATCCAAAATCTGAACGTCTTTACACAATAAACTGCACAGTTAAAGCTGCTGCAGGTAACTTTTATAAAGATAACTTCTGTCCTGACAGTAGAACATGAGACAGATAATCTGTGAAAGAATCCGGTTCCTGTGGTTCCTGAACGAAAACAACCAATCAGAGCAGAGAAACTGAGAGTGAGACTCTACAATCAACTATGTTTCATGAACACTTTATCTTTTAGAAGTGATCATTTTGCGTGTAAAGACGTAGAGATGTTGCGATAAACACAAGAAGCTGTTTGTTTACAACCTGCTGGCTCTGATGTGGCTCCGTTGTTATTCTTGCAGTAAAAACTGTGTTTGAACTCTGGAGGACGAGCAGCACCTGTCACCTGTGGGAACCGCGGCGGACAGCAACGACAAACGAGCTTTCACATTCCCGCCGAGCGTCTTTAAGGTTCTCTGTGTTTCCTCGAACGGGACGGGGTGCAGTTTATAGGCAGCTACACTTTATCTTCTTATTTATTTATTTATTTATTTTCTTTCATCTCGGGAGTTTTCCTTCCTGGACGCTGAGGATTCATCAACAGAGAGACAAACACTCAGCACACGACAGTAACCGTGTTTCCACCCATTTGAGTAATTTGGCAAAAGAAAATGTGAAATATAATATTTCTTGATTCGAGCCAAACATCTGAAACATCTCCTGCCAGTTTTGGGTCAATTGGACAAACAATTTAGGATTTATACTCTGATTTGTGTCGTTTTTGTTGCGCCCCCTGGTGGTGGATTTGAATGAACTTCTGAAGCTCATTGGTCAGAAACTTTACAACTAAATAAGATATCAATAAGCCTTATTACATCTTAGGGCTGGGCGATATGGCTTAAAAATAAAATCTCAGATTTTTTCACACCAAACCCGATTTACGATTTTAATCGATTTTTTTGACTGTTTTTTTAGCAGGTGTTTGTGGGCTGCGGTCCTGTATATCTCGCAGAGAGCAACATTTCTCCCACTCGGCTGCATGCCTCTGCTTGAGGTGCTGGAATAAATTGGTCGTACTATTACCTTTGGTTGCAACAGCTTTCAAACAAACTTTGCAGTGGGTCGTGGTTTGTTCGCTGTCGGACGCCACAAAACCAAACCAGTTCCAAACAACCGACGACACTGTGCCTTTTTTGGGGACGAGCTCATCCTGGCTTGCTGCCATGTTGTGTTTATCTGTGGAGAGGCGGGGGGAGGGGTCAGCGCACTCTGACCTACGGGAGCCCAAAGGGAGCGCCGGTGTTGTGGAAGTTCAAGAGAAAAGAGATTTTAACTAAAAATAAGTCGTGTTTAACAACAAATTTGAGTTAATGGACAAAATTGATTTATCGCCCAGCCCTATTACATCTGTTGATCAGCTTCATCCGATGATGATCTGCAGAAGATCTGGTAGCGATCTGACCGACGGTTCAAAAATGTTTTTCAAAAAATGTAAAATGGGGAAAATATAACCTAGTGGACTTTTATGGTCCAAGAGGAGTTTTTGTTGAGCACATTGAGCTGGACTCGTGTGTCCAATCTCAAGTCAGTCAGAGGGGAGGGGCATAGTGCCACCATCTGGCCAAAGTGTCTTTTTCTAGCTCATTCCTGGGCTGGAATTTGAGCTTCTTTGGCAGACTAATGATAATAATAATAATAATAATAATAATAATAATAACAACGGCTTGTTTCTATCTGACTACCGTTATGTGAATATTAGGAGTTAGTAATAAGCAGTCAGGAAACCAGAAGAAGAGATTGCAACAAGATGATGTCATTAAAAGAGTGGCAGTGGAGGTTCATGTTTTAATGTGAGGAAGTTTTCAGTGAGTTCAGTGTTCGCTACGTCATTCAGAAACAGTGTCCATCTCCCGTCAGCAGCATTTACTCTTTTTCTAAAAAACACCTTGAAAGAGTGAAAAATGAAGGCAAATTTAGCTGTTTCCATCAAACTTTTCTAATAAGATTCTTCTAAACACATTGATGGAAACAGTGAGGAGAATCGGGGACGAGGACTTGGAGAAATACTGCGAGGAATTCAAAATCGTATTCCTTTTGCACTTTGCCTGAAATGAGAAACGTGTTGCTGAACTGGCTCTGAAGTCCTCGAACCTCCTGCAGGTCAAAGCTTCAATCACAGATTCTGGAGGACTCTTCAGCAGAAATCAATAAGTTATCAATACCTTATCAATACTGTCATATGACTGATATTCTAGTTCAGTCTCATTCTTACTGGGGATGCACCATATGGATCTATTTCAGCTGATAATTTCACATTTTATTCAGTCTGGAACAAGAAAAATGTAATAAAAAAAAAATCCAATTATTGGCTGATTATTTATCAGTCCTGATATACGACGTGCATCCCTGATTGTTGTCTCCTGAAACGTCACTAAAATAGATAATTTAATTACCGTAATAACTCCACATTTCACTGAGTCACCAGTTTATCAGGAACAGATGAGCGTTTATCGGTAGTAGTGGGAAACTGATGGAAAAGTATTTGTGATCTTGTGAATAATAAATATTTCACTCAGCAAAGGGTCCATTTACTAGCTGTTCTGGAGCTTTCCATCATATGACAAAGTCTTCCTCTGCAGTCAGTTAATGTGGACCTTTAAGCGAACAGAAGTTCTTCAGGTTGCTCAGAAAATAAAGAAACTATGTTCATCAGCAGAAGAAGCTGCGGCTGAAAGCTCCAGAGCAGCCACTAAATGAACTTTATTAAGACGTCTGTTAGTCGCTCTGTTCCTGATAAAGCGATGACTCAGTTCGTGGACGCTGTTTTAAACTTCAGGTGTTTGAGCTCGTCGGATCAATAACGGTTGTGTCACTTCCTGTCCAGGTGACGGGTGTTGGGACTGCTCGCTGCAATACTGAATATAGAATAATATTTATTTTCTTTTATCAGTGTTAGAAGGCTTCAATCTCTCTCATATGATCATACTTTTGGAGGCAGCTGACTGTGAGGCATGATGGGAAACTGAGTGCAGGTTTGTGAGCAGAGTCTCTGTGATTATCAGTATTTTGTATTGATGTGAAACATCTTGGTTTTTTTTTTTAGGCAAAATAAATGTTCAGTGAAACTGTCAAGCTTCTGAAATGTTTGATTATAAAATCACTTGCTGCAAAATCTGCAGTTTGATTTATAACAAAACACATTTTTTTATTAAAGTTCTTCATGTTTAAAAAAAATGTTAATTTGTAAAGTAACTAAAGCTGTCGGAGTAACGAGTGCAGATAGACTGAGACACTGGGTGGAGGTTCTGAATAATTATATCTCTTTATATAAGAACGGTGTGCCTCAGGGGTCGGACTTGGGACCCATTTTTGGTTCTTTGAATAATGTGCCCAAGAGGAAGCATGTACAAACACATGGGGCCAGATGCATAAAACCCTGTGCAGGTGTTAAAATCTGTGTACACACAAAACAGGAAACATGCATTCGCAGTCTTTTCATCAGATTAATAAAACCTCGCCTACGTTTGTTCCTACATGTTTTTCCTTCACACATCTTAATCCTCCTTCTGACCGTTCCCAAAGTTTACTTTAAATGGGTTGAAATGTCCCTACTGCCTGATCTGCATACGATGGATCAGTGTTTAGAAACGTTTTGAGGAGAAATGGCGAAAAGAAAAAGAAGATTTGTACAGAATGTGAACTGACGGTAACAAAGGATCACATTGACAAAAGAAAATGTGTGTTATTGGATGCGAAACTGATCTGAACAGAAGAATGAATCAATGAAGGTTTAATCTGTTAACACACATCTTGAGAGGTTGATAATAACAATAAAGTTTATTTATTATCCGAACACAGTCTGCAAACTCCAGGCAGCCGACAGATGATCTAACAGGATGTAAAATCTGACTTTGACTGACTGCAGTCTTTTGTCGCCTCCTGCTGCTGGCGCCTGATCTCGTCCACTGTCCAGTTCATCTGGAATGAATCCAGTACCGTACTTCCTCGGGCAGAAGTCTGTTGTCAGTCCCAGAGGCCCCGGCTGAAAGGGGGCAGAGCGTTTGCTGTCAGGACCCCGAGGCTCTGGAACAATCTGCCCGAGGAAATCAGGTCGGCTGAGTCAGTGATCTCCCTTCTTAAAACATATTTCGTATGTATCGTAGTCTTTCTTGATTTTACTCTAATTTTCTTATCGTTTCTTTCCGAAATGTTTTTCTTCTTTTATCTGGTTGAAATTTTATTGATTTTATAAGTTTTATTTTTTCTGAGATTATTATTATTATTATTATTAAAGAAAAGACTCCTTAGATTTAAGAACAGCACTCGGGTAAAGGTACTGCAAACTCATCTGTATGAGGTCTGCAGTTTGTTTTCAGGACTTTACAGTATTGATTGTTTACTTATGGTGTGTATTGATTAGTTCATTTCCTGTTTCAGGAGGCGTACAGTGACCTTATGGGCCTGTGTGATGATGGACGGTGAGAACTTCTCACCTGACTGAAGAATCAATAAACCAACAATAATTATAATAATCAATATATCACCAAATATCCACCAGAGCTTCCTGTAATGTCAAATACTTGTTACAATTTGTCATCATAAATCACCAGAATTTATACTTTATTATATTTCCTGACATACAAAAATTACTGTACACTGAATTTTGGTGCATGTGAATTATATATTACCTCATATCTTATGCTATGCTTTTACATGAAATATTGTATATTTACATTTATTTTACAGCCTTCAGAGTAAGATTTTAGACAAAAATATTTGACCCGTTTATAAAATAATATGCAGGATTATAGGCTGAATTTCAGTGCAGGTGAATCTTCTATCTCATCTTACATTTACTATAAAAGTAGAAGGACCGAATTTTAAAACTGAATCTGAAACTTTTTTACTCAAGTAAAAGTAAAAAAGTACAGTACACGTAGGACGGCTACAGGTCAGCTGTCAGTGCTGTAGATACAGGGCACAAGTCAGTACTGTTATTATAAACTTTATTTCACAAGTTTTAGTGGAGTATAATCTGAACACACTATTTAATTACAACTGATTTTGGGGGTTACCATTAGATGTGAATAACCAACACTTCTTTCTGTGAGCTGTGGATGCAAGCAGTGGCTTCTTCAGGAAATGCTAATCTACAGCATTAGAAATGAACCACATATTTCCTGCTGGACACAAGATGTCTCTTCCTTCACTGAAGGTCCATTCTCAGTGTCACTGGTGGATCGCACTGTAGAAGTTATATACATTGACCCCCTAACTGACTGGAGGAGACTTTAAAACCAGTCCGACTGTGCTGTGAAGGTGCAGTTGTAGTGCTCTGCTCGGGCTGTAGGGGGCAGTAGTGGCCCACTCACAGGTAAAGAACCATAAACACACTCACTGATCTGTCTGTTGCATTCCAAATTTATTGTTGCATCATTGTACATAAAACACCTGATAGAAATGTAACTGTAAAGCACAAGATCAGTGTAAACAACAGTTCAACAATATCGTATAGAAAGCCACATTCGTACATTCAGTCGTGCATAAAAGATGAACAATAACACTGTAAACAAGAAATTCAACATGAGGTGTACCTGAATGTTTCATCATGTCTCACTTCAACGCTTTGAATTAGAAAACAGGCAGGGGGAGTATAGAGATATAAAGAAGTATATCAACATATTGCATCATGCAACAACGAGGAAGAACCACTTGTATTGATATTGATATCATCATCATCATCATCATCATCATCATCAGTCATGGCAACAATAGGATGCAGTTTGTTTTTCACAGTTGTATTAAGGAGTGCAATAGAGAAGTGATCCGTGCGTTACAGAGCAAATATCAGAGAAATGATACGAAGGAAATTCTGATTATTTTACCGATACGTTTGAAAGATGAGACCAACACAGCTGCTGACGGTTTATATTTTCTGCAGACGTTCTTTTTATGCCTCCAAATGTTCGCTAAACCCCTCCCCCGCAGTCAGTGATTGTCCAATCATAGCTTAGCAACCGTAACTAGGCACACAAGTGTGGAGGCTGGTTTTTATGGTGTGTTCACAACAAACACGAAGCAAATTTTCGCACCGTGATTCGAGCAAAGTTTCCTCTCACCTGAATATTTTTAACTCTCACAAATTTGCGTATTTGTCCAATTTCCGTCTTTGTATTGACTTTGTAATCTCATCGAGAGAAAAATGTGCTTTGTTATTTAAACATAGGTTTAAATGATGCATTGGTGGGTTTATCTGTTCTAATGTAACCTGTAACAGTTCGCCACTAGTGTTGATGGTCCTGAATGCTATCAGAGTTTAAACTAACTTTAGCGGCTCTTGGTTGGATTTTAGGTCGTTTATAATCCAGCAACCCCAGTAAATGCTACGTGAGCTAGCGTTACATCAGTCCTCATCCTGAAAGTGAAAACAAACTGTCTGTTAGCATGGCATCATGACCTGGAACCTGCTAGTTCGCACTTGATGGCTACATACATGATACCAATGCTAACAGACGGAAGCTAAAGTTATTTTACAGGGTTTACATTTTAAGAAAGGTATTTAGCTGTAAACGTTAGGACTCAGACAAAGACAGCATCTTCAGGTGCATCGTGGAGCTAACGTTAGCTCAACTGACAGCTGGTAAATCTGCTATCAAAGGTTGTCTTTCCAGTCACTGAAACTGCTTCTGTCTGATATTAAGGAGCTATTGTTTCAAATCTGTCTCGTTTCCTGTTCTGTGTTGTACGGTCAGCGGGGGCTAAAGTGGGGCTTAGCGAACGTTTAGGGATTCAGTATTCCTGTCGGTGTGGAGCAGCCTGTGAAACAATATTTAAATCAGTGGACATTAAACTTCACCACACTGAGATTCCTTCACTGTTAGCACCTTTGAAGACTGACCCTCCATCTATTCAAACCCTGGAACATTTCACTGAAATACTTCATACAGAAAAATCAAACAAGACTGAACAGTTGCAGGAATAAATCAAGTTACACGTCTGCAGCTTTTTCTGACTGTTTTTTCTGTAGCCGTCAGTGTTTCCAAATTTGACCTAATCAAAGCCACGAAGCCGCGCAATCATCATGAAAATTACCCAATTGCCTCGAGCCTCCCTGTTATATTCAGTATCTGAATATGAGTGCAAGAAGAAGAATAACAGATGGTCTTCTCTGTATAACTGAGCTTAAAACCACAGCTGAGATCTGTTTCACAATGACAGAATATTCATTTAAAGTCATTTTCAACTGAGTTGTAACTTAATTAAATTACATTTATTTCTGTTGATCTGTTGTTGGCTGTCCCGGTCCATTTTTACATAAAAAGTTGTCCATTGATCAGGAGAATCTGCCAACAGTGGTAGCTGTAGTGATGGAGGAACCTCCATCCAATCAGAGCCAGACACTAAAAACCAAAGCATCTACATTATGAAGGGGGGGGGTCCTGCACAAAGTTACCATCCACAGTCCCTCCAGGAAGTTGCACCTCTCAATTTTGTCCAGTCACTGCAAATCTTCCACAAATTTGACCAATCATAGCAGTCCCCCCCACACAAATAGTTAAACTACTAGTGATTTTATTCTCACTGGAACAAGTTGCCTTCGATTTTTAATATAGTACCATAAAACCTCAATTGAACGCAGGTCTCCTTTACAAAAAGGAATTAAAGGCCTGTCTCAAATAAAGGCAGGTTGAGTTCACTGACTGAAGCAAATAAAAACCTGGGCTATTAAAGTTTTATGGTTTACAAAACAAAAACAAACAAACAAATCAGCTATTTTTTTGGTTGACTGTTGACTAAACTCATAATTTAAAAGGCAACTGTCTTAACTTTAAAGTTTTAAGTTTTGAAATAAACAAAAAAAAGTTTTGCCAATGTACTAATAATTTGTTGTTGAGGTAATCTTAGAAACAAACATTTTAACATTCACATCACAGTGAACCAGAATTTTGTTTATGTGGGTGTTTGAAAATTAAATACTTTATTCACTAATTCCCACTTTAATGACTTTTCTGAACAATTTCTGAAATGGTTTGTTTCTCAAATTTAAAGACTCTTGTTTTTCTAACTCAGAAAAGTAACCATCACAACATTTGAGAAAAGCTGATGTAAAATCAGCCATTTTAGGTCTCAACAGTCCCCAGAAAAGCCTGCTGAATCCTGGAGGGACTGAGTCATCTATTCAGGAAATATCTTAACAACAGCAGTTAGTAAACCACCTCTTTAGTTAGAACAGAAGCTGAGCTGTATAAACATGAGAGGAACAAACTGGGTTTAGACTGAACGCAGAGAAGTTCTGTCTACGCAGACGGAGAAAATACTGCTGCTCTGACGGGAACATGCACTGACGGGAGGCATGGTGACAACAAAAACATAACAAATTTGGGAGCTGGTTTTTCTTTTAAAGAGAGCATGGGACTAAAATCTGTAGAAGAAAGAAGACATGCAACCGTCTGCAGCTGTGGTTTCTACTGAATGTGAGTTCCACCCCTCATAAGTGTCGGCCTGCAGTGGATGTAACCTGGTGCTGAGTGCAGGTGTGATGATCAATAATGAAGGCACACCACCATTCTGCTCCGACCATGGTGGCTCTAATTATAATACACTTTCCCTCTCTGCTGATTCCTGTGGTGAAGTTGCTTGAGTCCATCCCGTGAAGTACGCAGAGGCTGCCTGCGGTCCCCGACGGCGCCCGTCCGCACGTGCTGAGGCTGCTGGGTTTAGTCGTGGCTGAGGGTTCGTGGCAGCTCGTTGGTCAGGATGTGCCACCGCTCCACCCGCCTGCCCTTGTTCTTCAGGCAGTCCATCCAGTGCCGGAGGGCGTCGCCCTGTGAGTGACAGCTCAGACAGACGCCGCCTGAACGGGCGACAAACAGAAAGTCTCACGTTAAAATTAGTTACATTACTAGTTACAGACAAAAGTAATTGAAGTAAACTTGGAACATATTTCTGCACAGTGGGAGGATTTTGTCCACTGGAAGAACATTATGAAGGGATCGCTTTGAGAATGTGAGTCTGTCCTTTAAACTGTTGACTGGAGCTATGCTAACATCAGAGTCCACCCGGCACGGCTTTATAACGTTTGGTTCTGAGATCCTCAAATCTCACCGAGAGTATTCAGAGCGGGTTGCTGCTTTGTTGTTTTCTTGTATATTTTATCCTTTAAAAAGAATTTGAAAGTGACTTCTGGCCTTGTGCCACAATATTGATCTAGCTTGAAATTCAATCTGGAATCTGCATGTGGCATTTTATTTTGAAAATTGACTGAATTCTCTATACTTCCACTCACTGTGATCTGCTCTGATCTGTGCGGTTTCATGCAAGTGGGTCGCAGCTTTCGAAGAACTCTAGTAGCACCAGGCTATGGGATCTGTAAGCACCAGGCTAAGGGAGCTTTCACACTGGTACATTATAACCTGGACTTTACCCGAGGGCTTGCTGTTGCTGACCCTGCTCCAGAGCTCCAACTTTGAGAGACGGGGCTAAAGACAAATGTAAACATCAGTCACGTGTTCCAGCAGACATTTAACCCAGAGCTAGCAGAAGCATTAGCCCAGAGATAAAAGTATTCTATGAACCCTCACTATGACATGCCTGACATCTGTGGCAGAGCGACGGGCGCTGAACAGGCTCCTGTCAGTCATGGACAATCCACTGCATCCGCTGCACAGCACCATCTACAGGCAGAGACAATCCACTGCATCCACTGCACAGCACCATCTACAGGCAGAGGAGCAGCTTCAGCGACAGGCTGCTGTCACTGTCCTGTTCCACTGAAAGACTGAGGAGACCGTTCCTCCCCCACGCCATCAGGCTCTTCAACTCCACCCAGGGGAGAGAAACTCAAAACTCCAATATGTCTGCCCTTTAGTTAACTATACCACCTGACGCAGTGCACCCTGCATTATGTGACCACTGACTGACTGACACTACTTATGTACCTTAGGCCTTTGAAGCACTGGATTTGACCATGCACCTTAGGACAATTACCCAGTGCTTGTTATTTTATGTCATTTCATTTCATTTTATTTTATTTTATTTTATTTTATTTTATTTTATTAGTTCTTTTGCATTTGACCTCTTGTTGTTGTTATTGTTATTATTATCAGTCTGTGGATACTGCTTGAAACTGAATTTCCCCTTGGGGATGGATAAAGTATCTATCTAATCTAACCTAATCTAATGTAATCTATCCTGGGGCTAACAGACCCCTAACCCCAGGGCAAAGGGCTTTTAACTCTGATAATCGTATAGCCCTGGCTTTATGTTAAACCGGGGTTAACTGTGTGCATTATCCCAGGGTCAACTCTTTGCTCAGGGCTGACATTAGTATTCAGTGTGAATATCCAGTGAAACATACATGTTTAATCCTTTGCTACTGTAATAAGTGCTAAACTACTGAGGGTTCATATTAATGACTTCTGGCTCAAAGTGTGTAAAGAAATCAATAATATAGCTCAGAAAAATAAACCTGTTTTTCACTGGAGCTGCATAAGGTGAATAGATTTTAGTTCAAGGAGTTGTGACGATCTTCAGTGGATTTCAGACTCCCTACGGTCTCACATTGGATTCAGAGTGTTAGGAAACTTATTCCTTTAGAAGCAATAAGCTTCTGGCTCAAGTACAAAAAACATCTACGTTTCTTAATATCTGGGCCCTCTTTCTGGACTATATTGGGGATGATGGGGCCCTGCAGAGGGGGCTCTATAAGGGTGCTTATTCTAATGTCTAATATGCCATTATCCCTTCAGTATGATTACCCTTGTTGTATGAACCTGTTTTTGGTAAATGATTATCTATTCATTTTATTTCTGTTTTTTAAGATGTGGAGGGAATATGTTCCGTGTTAGATGTAAGGTTAAAAAACAGGGTACATTTTTTTGCGTGTGTAAAGCTACAGTTGTAGAACACCGTGACTTTTGCCTCACAAACAGCAGCAAACACGCTGCTCAACATTAAATAAGCCGTGCTCTTGAGATGAATTATTGGCAACCAGCAGCGCTTTGATTTTTCCATATTTAACAATATTAATATAATAACACACAGAAACTGTAATTATCAGAACTAAAGGAGGAAAGGGAGCCCGATCAGTAATACAGATGGTGGGACTGATAAAAATTCATTCATAATCATAACAAACAAAGCTTTGGCTGAACAGCTTTGCCGACGCTAACGAGCAGCATGTGTCAGATTCATTAATATTTACATCGTTTCCTCTCAGCTGAACAAGACGACGATCCTGTCAAACATTTTCAGCTCATTATGTGATTATTTACTCAGATATTCTCCACGCAACCATAAAACATGTCCTTGAGACAAAGAGCACTCAGGGTTCAGGAACCAGTTCCACCGACAGGCTGAGAGGAGGTTTCAGTGATCACGATGAGCTGCAAGGGTGTCTCACCTATGAAGTCGTTGGAGCGTCCCAGGTCGTAGTCCCACACAGTCACCTCCAGCGTCTTGTTGGCGAGCTCAGACAGCGAGATCTCATAGAAAAACTCCTGCAGTCATCAGACACAGAGAGAAGCAGAGTACAGGTCTGTGAGGTGCAAAAACAAACAATTTCACGTTGTGCTGCCTCGGTTTTATTTGGAGAATATTCAGGTCCGGTAATATTCTTTACTTTCCTTCCGACCCGACTAACAAATATTGTGTATGTGTGACAAATATATCTTCACCTATAGTGGATCCATTAGCTGACTCTGTTGGACTGGGAGCTCCCAGTGAACACCACAACCAGACCGGGACTGAATGCAGCATCTGATGCTGACGGAGGACAGTTTGACTACTGAGGTGGTTTTTTTTGCTCGTTTTGGCTCTGGGAAGCCCAGGGCTGAGTCAGCTACTGTTAGCTGCACAAGCTAACTGGCTAAACGGCAGCTAACATTACCGTTAGTAGCAGTAAAAGTCCATCTGAAAACTCCAGTAATCACGTCTCAATGCTTTTGTAGAACTGTCCTCCGTCTGTCAACAGCAGCAGCTGTTAGCTGAGCTGAGACAGAGCAGCTGGAGGACGCCAGAGGGAAAACCAGACAATACCAGTGATTTGGGTGAAACTGGATGATATTTTAGAAAGTAGTGTTTTTACAGTAATCGGTGAGCTCCGGTAGCTAGCCATGCTGTTAGCTAGCTAGCCAACTAATGAATCTTCACGCTGTGTGGCTAAAAGTTGAAGATTGATTGACGGGTGAATGTCAGGATATTATTGGTTGGAATCAGTTAATTCATGATGATGTAAGCATGCGTCACATTTTAATTTTCAGGGAAGATTGAATTTTGATATAAACAAAAAAAGATTTGAAATTGAAAGGTTTTTGGCATACATTGTTTAACGGGTACAATATGACTGAGGAAGTAATCTAAAGTGGTTAAAGAGGCATTTTTCATTTAATCTGGACTCAAACAGTAGTTCTCATCAGTTTTAATTTTTCTGGATTAGGTACAGAAAATCTAGTCCAACAGGTCACATATGAAACATTAAACACACAAACTAACATATTCAAAGTGTAGCAAAGTGTAACTACAGCCTGTAGAAGCCTGAAACTACAATAAAAAATGTCTTTAAAGTGACAATAATTATAATAATTTTTATAATGTATTTTTAAAAACGACAATGTGATACTAATGATAATCAACACAGACAAGCGCTTTTTCTGGTTCTCTAGTTTTTAAAAGGTGAAAATCTAATTTAGTTCAGGAAAGAAAAAGTTTCTGACAGCTGTTCAGATATTCTGGTTTTCATTTATGTGGGAGAACAATTGGAGATGTTTCAGTTATTCAGAAAAACAAGATGAAGCAGTTCATTTTCCTTTACACTGAGCAGAGATATTAGCCTGCAATAAAAGAGACTGAGCTCATTAAGGTTGCGTCTCAGAGAGACCAGAAGTGAAGGCCCTGAGCTGTGTGTGAAGCTCTGGGCCGGCGTTGGACCTGCTGTGGCAGCCTGAGGAGGAGGAGGAGGAGGAGGAGCTCAGGGTTTTTACCTCATTGAATTCGGGGTTGAGGGTCTTTTTCATCACTGTTGTTTTGTGCTTGGATTTCTTCTGTATGTCAGGCTTCAGGTATCTGACAGCAGAGGGAGAGAAGAGCAGATTTAGAGACTGTGTTTAACTGACCACAGCCAACTGTGAGGTCACAGTGTACTGGAGTACACCTGTACATCACTGCAGGAAGAAGTATTCAGATACTTTAATACCACATTGTGGAAAACTCCACTAAATGTAAAAGTACTGCTTTCAAAATCTTCAAGTAAATGTGAGTATCATCGGCAAAATGACTGACCTGATGTCCTGAAAAGATGTCGTACAGTTAATGTTCAATTATATTACCTTCATATTTCCTTTTCACATTACTTTTATGGTGTTTGTCATTTTAATTGTGCTTGTTTTTGTATTTTATATCCACTTCCATGTATTTTGCAGTTGTGACTGTTTTAGAAAGCACTTTGCTTTAGCTTAGTCTCATGTCATTCAATGTATATTTGATAGAGACAGATACAGCTTCCACAGAAACTCTATCTATCTATCTATCAATCTATCTATCTATCTACTATTAACACTTTTTCCTGAGTTTACATTGTTAAAGAAGCTGCTGTAAAATGGTGGATACATTTCTTTTGCATCAACCCCTCCACGAAATGATTTGTTTGGTCTGATAACATTTGGAGAGTTGAGAAGTGCTACAAGATTCAATAATTTCATCTCCATTCAGCTGTTTTTCCTGATGTGTTTTGCCAAGGTGTTTTATCAAATAAGTTAAATTATCTTTAAATCTTATTACCTTTAAATTAACCTGCACAGTTAATTGATAATTGAGGCTTTTATTTCTACAATCCGGCCATTATTTCATTAATTTAAGTTATTAATTATAATGGCAGCTTTAGTCCTCCGTAAGTCACAGGTAGGAGAGTCGTTTAAGTCTGATACAGGTTTGGATTCAGTCAAACTAATGTCATACTTTCACCGCAGGTTTGAAACTTATCAGGAAAGGATTACCACCACAAAGTCGATAGATTTATCTAGTTGGATTTGAAGATAATAAATCCAGACACAGACTGATTGAGAGGAACAGGTGATGACGCCGACTGTCTGGTTTTTAAAAGGAATATTGACCTTCTATAAAGTGATGTATTGGCTGAAAGCGAGTCGTGACGCAGCATGCTGATATTCTGGACTCCGTAGTGATTTTAAAAACTGGTAAATCGGAGTTCACTTGACCCCTTGGCTGCCAGTTGCCTTTTTGTTCTGCTTCAGACTCAGTTTGTATTCTGACGTCGTGCAACAGAAAACTCTTGTCCTCTTCAAAAGCCAGCTAAAGCCTTAAATCCCCGACTCTGGCCCCGAGTGTTTCCTCTGACAGAGCACTGCTCCGCTCACTGTTTCCTTCTCCTAACTGATTATCCTTCCTGCTAGGAAACAGATGGTGCAACTTTAACAACAATTGCATCATTGATTAGTAAAGTTAATGAGTTGGCAAAACTCCAGCTTTTATTTGTCTCATTAGTGCTGAAGTCCAGTATTCAGTAGACATCCTCAGTGCAGGAGGAGTTCAGGTTCGGCTCCAACACATTTGTGTCCATTTGAATGAACATTGTAAAGTTTGTATTTGAACAGCTGAGCATTATTTAAAGAGGTTATTGTTTTAACAGCAGTAATCCTCTAAAACTTTACTTCTAAAGCACTTTTATACACTAATTTACATTTATACAGTTAATCCAAGTAGACAGAAATTAATTGTGACTTTGTGTTTCTCTGCTCATTGTTTAATTTATTTATCAACAATTAACCAATTCCCTTAAAAATGAAGTGAGTATTAGGGGGATTCAGTGAAAGTTAAAGCTGCAAGCAGTGATAAACACAGACCACCGTTCAGGCCACAACTGTTATCAGACGTATAAAGTTTGGTGTTTGACGAAAGCTAAAAAAAGCGAAACTTTTCATCGTGAAGGTCTTTAGATGCTGCTGACCTAATCTGAAGTCAAGTTGAGGAATTATGTATGAGGAGGTTGATGAAGGACAACGCCTAAAAAAATAAAATAAAAAGACGCCTAAAATGACCATTAAGTTTAAAATTGCTGACTCTTTGGGTTTGGGGTATGGGTCTAAGAGGGTTTTTGAATGTTGGGGCAGGATACATGTGCCTACAGATTTTTGTGTGTGTACGTGAAATGTGCTTTGTTGAAGTATTTACAACAACTTGTTACACAAGCTTTCACCACCGCTGACGTGTGCAGTGTTTGGTGAGGTTTGGAGCACGTTTGGCACAAGGATAATTCCTTCAGTTACGATAGGGTCCTCGGAGTGGTTGCTAATAAACACAATAAAGCCTGCAGGTAATCGTTAAGCAAACAAAACTATTGCACAGCTACTTTAAAATCTGCCTTGATTCAGGTAATCTAGTGGAAACGGGTTCTTTAATATTCACTCAGGGTTCAGTTTCAGAACAATAAAATCCCTTTCAGTCAGAAAACAGAAGAATTCTGAAAAGGTCAGAGTTAGCAGCTGATAATATCCCATAAAGTAAGGTCTGCAGAGAGTTGAGGAAGCAGTGTGCAGCTCCTCTCCTCTCTTATGCCCTAAAGAACCGGCTGCATCACACTCTGATTGGCCGAGAGAGGATTTACTAAGCTGCTCTCAATCATTGATCAGGAGTCGGTCCCCACAGCACACAACAGGTGATCTGAATGATCCTCTAACCGGCTGAAATGAACTGGAAGCTGGACAGCAGGAACCAAAGAATGAGGGATAGATACAGTCGGACAAAATGAAATGAAGTCCTGTCCAATCAGAAGTTCTTTGTTAATGTGTGTCTGACTCATTATATCCTCCTCCATGTCGAGATCTGTGTGAGTGAGCAAATTAAAACAGTATTTGGTTCTTAGTTTTGTTATTAGCATCATGTTTGTAAGATATTAGCATGCTAACGTTAGCTCTGTTCTTACATTTTGACGTAGGGGTCAGAGAATCCGTTGACGTCCATGGCGGCCAGGTGAGCGCAGCGCCTCACGCCCACACAGAGACCTCCGCTGCGACGCCCTTCAGCTCCTCCTGCTCCTCCTCCGCGCTCTGCGTCTTTTTCCTCCGAACTGAGCGGAGGCAGAAACTGCAGCGAGAGAAGAAGACGACCTCGCTCCTCCAGACTGTGCAGCTGCTCGTTCTCCCACTGCGGACAAAGTCAGATCAATCAGATTGATTAGATCAGATCAGTTTGATTAGATAAGTTTAATTAATTAGCTTAGTCGGATTAGTTTAATCAAGAACAATTAGATTAGACCTTGATTATTTTAGACTCATTAGCTCAGTCAGATTAGTTTAGTATTGGTTTACTGATCATGTATTTATCAACCACAACAAATGTATTTGATCATTAATAGGCCGTATGCATGTAGTTAGCATTTCCACTGAGCTTCCACAGGTCTGAGTAACAGACTGAGTGTTTGATAAACCTGCTCAAACTAAATGTGCACCTACAGTAGGTTTATATGTATCTGAATCAGGGGCAGTACAATACAAGTGCATTCAAACTTTTCCAGGCCACTCGTCATTTTAATCAATTTCCAGGTGTTTCCACGCCTGGAAAACTAGTCTTTAAATGTCCAGGTTTTCCAGGATGAGTAGGAACTCCGCCAGAGGATGAATCCTGCTGACAATCCTCTGACTTCATCTGATGCCATCAACAGGTCCAAGTCCTCTAAAATAATCACTATAGTTTGATGTGAACATAGAATGCTAATATTAGCATGTAGCTAATATGCAGAACCTGAGGATGAACTCAATTACTTCCTCTTGCGCCGACATCTGGACAGGACGCCAACGTCACACACCTGATATCTCTCCTGATCTGACAGATTCATTTATAGATAGAATATGGACAGCGTCATGTTTAAGTTCACTGCTCAGTACCGACCCCACAGCTGCACAGATTCAAAACATAAAACAACAAACTCTATTATCAGAGGTTTTGGGTCCATTTTGGTGCATTTTATTTTTTCCTGTGCTAACATCAGGACAGGATTGTCTCTGGTGTCTTTAGCAGCGTTTGTGCTTCAGGCAGTTTAAAACATTCCAGCATTTCACATTCAGTGATCAGTGTCAGTCCCACAGGTGAGGACATCAAAACACTCTGCCAGCAGGTTTCTATCTGTGTGTGTGGACACTCGTTCTCTCTGGATGAATTACAAAACCAGGTTTTCAAAGATTGTTTCCTCCCACAAGAAGGACCACCGATCAGAGGATTCAGTTCAGAAGAGAGGGAGAGTCAGAGCGGGTTGACTAGAAAGTACCACAGTTAATTATTAATGATATTAATGCAGCCAGTGATAATTAATAATAAGCTTTGGGCTCTTTAAGTGCTGACAGAAAGTCTGTGTAAATAATGACGTCACACTAAATGCTAAATTCACCACGTTCATGGTTTTTGCATTCATTTGAAAGGCCTTTAAATAGCCAACCTAATCATTTTAAACATTTTACACAAATCTTAAATGAATAAAACAAACCGAAACGTCTTTCCTGCCAAATCCCAGTAAAAAAGGACAAAATCATTATAGGTTTGAAGTTTTTTTGGCTTTTTAATTAATGGCTTTCATTATGTCAGATTTTATGGGTGCTGCAGACTAATTCACATTGGTGCTTTTGAAGCGAGTAGAAATGGATTAAATCCTGAAACTGTGGATTCACTGTGTGTGCCAAACACTGGGCAATAAAAGACAATACAGTAGACTACTGTTTAATTCAACACTGTTAAGATGTAAAGAATGCACCGATTGTGTGAGTTCATGTCTGTAATGAACGGTCCCTTGTTTTGCTGATATTCAACAATAAAGAACACGTCAGTGATGTGTTGTCTGTGAACGATTGGAGTCAACTCGTGTCTGAGAGACTATTTATTTTGTCTTTATTGTTTTTAACGCATTAAAAATAAGCCTAATTCTATAACGTCATCATCATCATCCATCCAGCTTCTGTGTTACCTGTAAGTCCTGAGTGTACAGGTAGGACTCAAAGTGTCAGCCATGACTGGATAAAGACAGTCTTATATTTTTTTCATCTGAAAATAACCCAGCAGCCTGTGGGAGTTGAGCCTTTTCAGTCCAACTATAATCTCATTTTCTACTGAGGAGCTGCAAATTTAATTTCAGCCCAAACAGTTCCCACAAAGATCATGTGTGTAAAGCAGCGGTTTTCCGACCGTTCACTACAGTGGAAGTATGTGCGTATAATGAGTAAAATGAAGTTAAAGTATTAAGGTGTTGTACTATTATATATAATATCAGATTTTTCTGACTCGTGCACTAATGTGAAAGCAGGATTTTACTGTTGGAGTTGGTTGAGGACTTAAACTAATGATTATTTTCCATTGATTGATTGCTTTGTAAAAATTGTGAAAATACAAAAAAATATCGTCACAATTAGTTCGAAGTGACACCCTCACAACCAACAGTCCAAACCTCACAATTATTACAATTACATTCAAATTATTACAATCATTGCAAGGAAAAAGTGAAAATGTTCATGTTTATGAAGCTGAAAAATGAGTTCACTGATTAATGGTTTCAGCTGTATTTAAATAAACTGATGGTAGTTTCATTTATAACAACATCATATGTTGTTGTGTGTTCATTTATAAAGCTGTAGTAGATAAATGTAGTCAATAGTAGAATATTTCACACTGAGATGTGTTGGAGTAAAAGTAGAAAGACTCTAGAACAGCACAAGTACCTCGAGGTTATATGGACAAAATTTACTTGCCACTGCAAGTAGAGCACCAGAATCTCAGACCAGAAACACAATAAAACTCACTAAAACCGTCTTTGTTAGTCTTTCTAACGATTACCAACTCCACTAACAGTAGTAGTTTCTGCCACTGACAGACTCAGGTTGTTATTGTCAGTGTCTGACAGCATTATGGAAAGGATCCCTACAGAGATAGACCTTTAGTTTAACCACAAACAGCCGTAATATCACTATCACTCTCCACCAGACTCCAGAGACACAAACACTGATTTTACCTTCAGATCATCGTAACTTCATTCAAAGTGGACAGAAATAGAATAAAACTCATTAAAAGCGTCTCTGTTAGTGTTTCCAATAATCACCAACTCTGGTTTGGTGGAAATAAATCCTTAATTCACCGACGTAGATGATAAAAACAGCAGTTTCAGTCGGAGCAGACCGGCTACGATACAACACAGGCAGAGGGAGAGAGACACCATGTGACTCTGTGTCTGTATATAGAGAATATAATGTTAGCTGCTATATTAATGTCTTAAATCTCATATATGTATCTTATATCTGTATGTATAACCTTATTTAGTTACATTCCAGCACTGGCAGAAGCTCATTAAAACTCTTCCTACAGCTGGTCTTTGATTTGATCTTTGAGGGTGAGAAGATCGATGGTTTAATCCTCCATCTTTGTCTCTCCGCCTTTACTCTCTTCCTCCCCCCTTCTGCGATGTCCCTATTAGTGTTTCTCCTCCACTATCTCACCCCATCACCCCACAGATCCTCATTACAGACAACGCTCACAGTTTACCACCTGTGTCTCTCACTTTGATCAACGCACCCATCGTCACACTTTGACCTTCTGTTGCTTCCAAAAAGCACCCGAAGCCTTCAGCTTTGAACAAAAGAAGTAAAGGTGAAAATGTAATTTAGGTTATTTATATTAAAAGCTTCCTACAAATTCAGTTGGGCGTTCAGCTCCAGAGAGCCTGTTTCCCACCATCCTTCACATTAAACTGCAGCTAATAAAAGAAAAAAAAAAGGTCAGAAAAAAGGCAGATCGAAGGCTTCTAGCGGGAGTCAGTGCCGCTTGGCAGGATCTCTCTCCCGCCCACCTCCAATTGGTGGGAAAGGCACTTTGTAGATGAACCCTGCACTGGATGAGATTTCAGCTCAGTAACATTTACAAAGTCAGCCTCTCTGAAATGAAATAAGCCATCAGTCCAGCCCCAGATATCTGCCCCAATCCTAACTTCAATACTGCCGCGGAAAATGTCATCAGGCAGCGGGTTCGGGTTCCAGGTGAGCGGCTGACGGACAGCCGGCGCCGTGTTCAAGCTCTGTCCTCGTGTTTGAAGAGTAAAGGGTTAAACTCCATCCAGAGACGGATGACCTCGCAGGAAGGTCGGATTCTGCAAACAGAGGCGGCGGCTTCATTCTCCGTTCAGACTCAAGAGACGTTTCTACGTGTTGTTTACCTGACAGACAGCGTGAGATTGAGACGGCAGAATGTTTGTTTCCTGCCAGCAGCATGATAAAGTTCATTTACTCCAGTACTGTACTTTTGGGGTTCTTGTACTTAAATATGTCAATTTTTATTTAACTTTATACTTCCACTACATTTCAGACACATTTTGTACTTTTTGATCTGCTATACGTTAGTTAAATTTCTTCATTATTAAAGGTTCAATATGTAACATTGAGGAGGATCTATTGTCAGAAATGGAATATAATATTCAGATGTATGTTTTCATTAGTGTAGAATCACCTGAAAATAAAAATCAAATAAGAATGAGCGGGTCCTCTTCTACGGAGGCCGCCATGTTGAACCACCATGTTTCTACAGTAGCCCAGAACGGACAACCCAATCACTGGCTCTAGATACGGCCTTTTGTGTTTTGCGGCCACCGTTTGTTTCTCCTACACGTGTTGAACGGGATCAATATTCAGTGTGGTCAGTAACCTGAAGTCCTAATGAAACAGGAAGCTGTTTGCTCTTATTTATGTGTTTCCTGTAGCTACTGACGGACGTGTTGCAGAGATTGATTGCTCTTTACAATCTGTCAACAATCTGTAAACAATCTGTAAACAGCCCTATGAGCTAGCGTCATCTACCTTCCGGGTGCTAGTCTGACAGGGAATCCAGTACCAAAGTGGTTTGGCTCCTAGCATCCTTGAGTCAGTTAGGTTAGCTGACCGAGCTAACAGCCGTTATCAATCAATCTGTCCATCAGAAACTCAGTAAATGACCTCGGTACTGTAACGTTATTCCCTGCCGGTCTCAGAGGCTGTGTTTGATTCCGGTCTGGCTGCTGAGCCCGGTTCTGATGCCTGCTGACGGACAGATACAGTTAGCAGCAGTTTATGAGCGGTTAGCTACTTTAGCTAAAGCTATCTGTCCATCAGGAAACTCTATAAATCACAGAGAGTTGAAGC